GAAAGAGTGAGATACAAACGTACATGCAGATTCTGGGATTATGTCTGTGGCAATCCCTGCTGGATCAGATCCATGAACACCCACCCAAAAGATGGCTGTCAGTCAATGCTGATGAGTGTTTGACTGTATTAAAATTGATTTCAGACTACTGAATGTTTACAATAAGGGAATGAAAGATGTGGACTGTGATTCCAGACTCAGATGCATCATGGGGTTCGGAAATTATCATGCATGATGCAAAAATCTAGGTTGTGAAACCAAGGGAGCAAGGCAAAAATTCAGTACATTGTGCATTAAACAAATTCCTGCATTCATTATAAATAACCTCATGCTGTCCACTCAGCATCTCACCAAGCACAGACAATTATTTTATGTTCTTGTAACACATCTAAACAGCAAAGGACATCATACTGTTTTGCAGCCTATAATGCATTGTGAATATGAGAGTACGTGCAAGGTATATTTCACTAACTTAGAAGGTTATGATATCAGTAAACTTTTATGGGGCAGGTGCACATGAAGTTAAAAAAAACCACCCTAACCAAAGGCTTCACCTATTTTAGTCAGATCCACCGGGGGTCCGACAACCCTACTTTCTGCAGGGCTTTCCAACAGTACCAAAGTCTGAGAAAACGCAATTCCCATCAACTATGGCAGAAAGCGAGGGGAAGATTTGTAAATTTTTGGCCACTTTAATTACCTTTCCCCTCTTGCCCATTATAATACACACATTCCATCACAAATATAAAATTTGTTTTTTTAAGAAGACGGGAACACAAGGGAGATGGTAGGCACCAATGCCTCTCCAGGGTGAGGTTTCCCTTTCTAGCATTCACAAAGTTTCATGCTTTTTGGAGTGTTTGAGAAAGATGCTTTCAGGAAAGCAACTGTGGGGAATCAAAAATGAGGGGGAGGGTATCCCTATTACTATTTGCATTATGCTCTGAATGGCTGAACAAAGCCAGTGGGTGTGGGGCAGTTTGCAGAGAAGCAATCAAAAACTCACCTTTTTCATTTGTTTTAAGCTGTACAACCTGGAATCCCACTCATCCATCCTGCTCTTGTTCCCGAATGACATCCCAGCGTATGCCGGGTGATGTCACATCAACCACAGAATCCATCAGAAGCATGGAGCCAACCTATGAGTGGAGAGGGTTTGGGATCAATTCCAGGTTTTTACTAGGTGTATTAATTTAAGCGAACAATTTGTCATGGATTTTGATACGATTAATGTACTCTTATAAATGTGTTGCTTTTGTATTTAAAAAGGCATAAAAGAAGACAATGCTCCCTAAAGGTTTGCTCCATGTTTCAGTGTGATTCTGTGATGGATCATCTGATGGAATCAGCATGAAGCTCAATGGATGTAATTCTTGATTACCAAATCCCTTCATGACACTTCAAGAGCATTTCCCTAGAGGCAAACCAAATCCTAGATTTCTTTACTGCACAGACCCCAGGGTTTAAACAAGTATGAGAATTTCAAATATGTCTTTAGCCTTATTTCTACTTAGATAATTAAATGTCCATTTTGAAATTTCAGGATGGAAAGGGCTACAGGTACAAATATTTAAGAAAATACATAAAAAAATCTTTTCCCACCATTTTCATGCAGTTATGCAAAGCATGGCAGTTCACAATGGCTGTTTATAAAAGAAAATACCCATTTTCGTGCAGTTATGCAAAGCATGGCATTCGTTCACAATGGCTGTTTATAAAAGAAAATAGTGAAAAAGTATCATGTTCAGTATTATTATTTTTCATTCCTTTGACTCAAATTAGGTATGGCAAAACAGGTGACGAACGGTGCAATCAAGAGCATTTCCTGGGAGCAAGCCCCATTGAATAGACTTCAGTAGGATTCTGCATAGACCTGCTTACAGAACAGTTACAGTGTCATCCTAAGAAGAGTTACACCCCTCTAAGTCAACTGAAGTCAGTGGTCTTAGAAGGGTGTGTCAAGGAAAGGAGAGGTTAAACCCCGTGGGTCCTCAGGGTGACTAAGCACAAGAACCAGACTGCTGTTTATATAATAATATTGTTTATTCAAAGGTTTTAAGGAAGAACACATAGTTATTGCTAACACATTACTCAGAAATCATACAGAACAAAAAACAATAATGCTAGCTTCACTATCTAACACTGTTCCAAGTTGTGTTGGGTGGCACGGACCTCAGCTTCAATAGGAAGGCTGCAAATCAGCATTGGCTATGTCCTTAGCAATTGCGAAGCATAGTGCAGGCCTATAGTCCATGAAAATTTCAGCTAGCTACCCGTTGGGCCCCAATTGAATTATAGCCTTTGGCCCAGCATGTCAGGTGATGGCGATATCCAATCACAACGTGTCTGGAAGATGATATCACCTCTCACAGCCTCCCCCCTCCCACCACAGATCACAGGTTCCCATGAGAAACTAATTTATCATCCTCCATCTTTGGCCTTGAGGATGATAAGTAGCTTGCAAGCCAGAGAGTCAATTATCAACACCTACAGTTCAGCCCAGACCCAGTCCCGTAGCCTGGGTTTTTGTGGTTTGTGAGGCAATTTTTTGATGGTGGGGCTGCCATTATTTGCCATAACGAAGGGGTGGTAATGTGCTTCCTCTCCCTTTCCTCCTGCAAGATTTAAAGGGCCGTTCAGCTGACTGGCAGAGAGCAGAGATCAGCTGGAGGGCCCTTTAAGTCTTGCAGGAGGGAGGGATGCTTTAAATGCTTTTGGGAAGAAGCAGTGGGCCTTTAAGAAGCGGGGGGGGCCTTTGAGGAAGGAAGCAGAGCCCCCAATAGCCCCACCGTAGCTACGGGCCAGGCCCAGGCCAAAGACTGTTCACATTAACCTTTTTTTTAGGGGGGGGGGGAGGATAGGAGAGAAGTCACTTTGCTTCACAGGGTATAACTCTGCTTAGGATGGCACTGTAATTTATGTTTGACAGTGATACTTACAGACAGGGAATGAGAAACAGTTTACATATGCTTACCAAGGAGAACCTGGAACCGGAGTGGATGCCACAGGCTTGTTGCCATTTGAAGCACTATCATCTTCTGGGAGTAGTTTTATAGAACAACTCTTCACATGGAAATAAATAGAGATGAGCCAACAAAAGGCATCGTTAACATGATGAGTTCTATTTATTCATGTTAATAATATTATTTTGTGGCCATGCCAGCAATGCATCTATCTACAGATTAGCTAGATTAGGCTGGAGAGAAAAATAGAAGCATATGCCAGATGAGATAATGAGGTAATCATTCTCCCATACTTATCCCCAATAATATAATAGTTTTGTAGAAGAAATGCAGTCTGAGTTTAAAGAAATAAGGTAAAAATTTGCAACTGAAAAGAACCAACCGACTCCATGTTGTGACTCAGTTTTGTTGTGCCAAAACAGACACAGCATGTAGAAATTATTTTACAATTGATACTAAGGAAATTAGGCTCAAAATGTGGTATTTGCCACAGAATGTGTGTGTGTGTGTGTGTTTTCAAGCTTCTCTCTTTGCCAGTGGATGTACACAACCAGTTTATCCCCAGGCTGGAGCTGCTGGAGGCCAATATGAGCAAGGGTCTCCCTGCATCTGCTGAAATGGCTGGGCAGGGATCACTCACCACCCCAGTGATTCCTTTGGAAGCCAGATTAACAGAATGTAGCAACATGGTGACTGGCATGGCTTATCCCTCTCATTGTATCCCAGATGCACATGGCTACTGCCCATGTCTAAAGCAAGCTGTACAAGCAGCACTAGCACACGCTGCTCCCTTAGATCAGGCTGGTGTGGCACAAGAAGATGTTTGAGGGCCCCATGTCTATGCCACAACTCCCTGCTTTCAAGATGGGCTCGCCTTAGACCCTGCTGGGGTGACACAGGAAGAGGCTGTTTGGGGCAGCAAAATGCCTTGAACACTAAATGGGTGTGAATAGGCTGGATGTTGGGTGGAGAAAGAATCAGAACCCGTTTCACTGTATCCAAGTGCAGCACTCTCCACTGCACTGTATGTGCTCTTGAAGTTAGCCTTTAGCAAGTCCCTTTCTGCTGGCATAAATACTTTGTGAAACAAATGGTAAATTCTTCATGTCTTGTCGAGATGAATAATATGTAGAATAATATGTACAAGAATAATAAAATATGTACAAGTGGGGGACCTGCAATGACATGTGTGGGGCATCTCGTGGGATAGGGTGGGGTATAAATTAAACAAACAAACAAACAAACAAATAAATAAATTCAACCCTTCCCACTATTTCCTTTTTCTCTGTTAGCCCCCATAGCTTCTCCCAATTTCTGGCATCCAGCAGCTAACCTGTCTTTGACTGTGATCACACACACTAAATAATCCACTTTCAATCCACTTTTACTGCACTTTCCGACTGTATTTTACTGTGTGAACTGCCAAAATCCAATTGGAACGTGCATTCGAAGTGGATTATTTAGTGTGTGTTATCACAGCCTTTGTCTGCCCCCCCATCTTCATCTTCCCCCTTTCCTTCCCACTTGCATCCTCTACATAGGAAAACGATGGCCCAGATGTGCAGTGGTGGCCAGTGGGCTGAGTTGTGTGGTGGGAAATTTACAAGGACTTATAGGAGGCACCTTACTTTCCCCTGTATTTTGTCCACAAATTATTTCGTCTTTCCCTTCTCCTGGAATCCCATATTCTCACCTTTCCCTGTTTTATCCCCCTTCTTCCCCCCCTCCTTTCCAGTCACCAACCAACCCACTTTTTCTCTGCCCCTCCATCATTGGCTATACTGATATTTATTTACTTCATTTATACCCCACCTTTCTCCACAATGGGACTCAAAGCAACTTGCATCATTCTCCTCTCCTCCATTTTATTCTCACAACAATCCTGTTAGGCAGGTTCCTGGGGTCTACATCCTTTATCAGTCGCAAGATGCTGTTCCTGCATTCTAGCAATATGAAAACAGTCCTCCAGTGGTCTCTAAGTACTCAAGTGGGTTGTAGGAGGACCTGTACATTATTGAATCGTTCTCTCCAACACAGTGTAATGCTTAGAGTGTTGGGCTAGGATCTGAGAAGCAGGTTCAGGTCCCCAGCAATGCTTCCTTTAAGCTGTGGAGTCTTGTGAGCAGAAATTCCACTTTGTGAGCTACTGGCATGAAAGATGTGAGCGAGAGATTTGGCTGCTGCATACATTAGTTTGCTCTGGAGCCATCCCTTCCCGAGCTAAGGCAAAAATATGTGTGCCAGAGGCTAAACAACTGTGAGCTAGCTCACACTAACTCAGCTTAGAGGGAACACTGGTCCCCAGTCTTCCATGGAAGCTTGCTGTGTGACCTTGAGCCAGTTACACACACTCAGCCTAATCTACCTCACAGGGTTGTTGTGGGGATTAAATTGAGGAGGGGAGACCAATGTATGATGTCCTGAGCTCCTTGGAGGAATGGCAGAATGAAAATGTAGTAAGGAAATAAGTCAGTAGGTAAATAAAGTGATGATCCAGTGCCTAATAGTTAGGGAAGCAAAATCTACACAGTAACAGGGTTTCTGTATACTAAGGTTTTACATTCAATAAAGAAAATAAGAAGTGACATGATTTGGAGTAAGCATGTTCTTAAAAAAAATATATTGCTTTTCCATTACAAAAACTACAAAGGATGAGGAGTAAGCATGTTAATTGCCCTCTGGAAAAACAGACTATGGCCCCGGTCACATGGGCCAGACATCGTGGGGGGAGGCGTGGCTGTTTGCCCCACAGCGAAATAACGTGTGACTGCGCGATCAGGCATCCCCTCGTGGTCTTGTCGAGGTCCCGTGGTTAGGGGGGAGGTGCTGCTCACACGACGCGCCAAAGAAGCAGCGCGGCACGGCAAACGGGGTTGTGTGGGGTTTTTTTTTAACCTGAAGTATGTGCATGCCCCATTGAGTGCTTGTGCACATCCCTGGAGACTTTTTGGGGAAAAAAACCTTTTTGCAATGGGGCATGGGCGGGCGCCAGATGCCACCGGAAACACGATCAGATGCCCGCCCTTGCCCCGTGGTTTCCGGAAACTAGTACCTCCGAGGTATCTTTGGAGGGAAGCCTCGGGTTCGCCACGGGAGCTCTATGCTTCCCAGATGTGGCGGTGAGATCGCGCCCGGAAAATCCGCCTATCTTCCATCGCAGTAGTGTGGCTACTGCTCCGTGTGACCGCAGCCTATGTTGAGGATAGTTGAGTATAAGTTAAAGGGAAAAAAAGAAGGAAAATAAAGGAGTGAGGCAAAATTGGCTTGTCTGTGTTCCTAGCCATTTATAATATCCTGGAAGGATATAATTTTTTATTTTTAGTTTTATTTTTATATTCTATTTATAGTCTAGAGATCCTCAAAATCAAGAAATCACTCCATAGTATTTACCTATCCAATCTCTGAGAAGACCTATCATAGTAATTCTTCAGAACAGGGCTATTTTGGGGCAGGAACGCACAAGAACAGAGTTCCGGCCGGCTTCCAAGTTGGCCATGCCCAGCAGGAACTCATTAGCATAATAGGCCACACCCAACAGCAGAAACTCATTAGGATTGGCTACAATTAGGGGTGTGTGGCCTAACATGCAAAAAGCCCTGGGTTTTGACAACAAACAAGGTAAAGAGAATAAGAAGCAAAATGTGGGTGTGGCTGGATGACCACACTTCTGGTAACATGGGGGTGTGGCCTAATATGCGAATGGACTGTGCTACCAGGGGTGTGGCCTAATATGCTAATGAGTTCCTGCTGTTGGGTATGGCCTATTATGCTAATGAGTTCCTGCTGGGCTTTTTCTACAAAAAAAGCCCTGCTTCAGAAGATTAAAGCCAGTTCATTTATGCTAGTAGCTTAAAGAATGAATAGCATGTCTACAAAGGGCTATTGCTGTGAGTGATTAAAGCACAATAATATACAAAAGCAGTGCTCTACATCTTCAAAACTACTTAATGGATTTGTAAAGTATTTTAGTGCCTCAGCAGTCCAGGATATATATTGGGGACATAAAACAAAGGTGATCTCAAAGATTTCACTTCCACTAACACATAAGAACTCTAAAAGGCCTGTAGAGATGCAAGGAAAAGATCAAGGATATGTGTGCAACCTTCTCCTAAACAAAGCAACAACTAGGGTTGTCAGCAATGCTCCCTCTAAGATATGGAGTCCTGTGAGCAAAAATTCTACTTTGTGAGCTACTGGCATTAAAGTTGTGAGCCAGCGATTTGGCTCCTGCATGAATTAGTTTGCTCTGGAGCCGTCCTTCCTGAGCTAAGTCAACAATGTGTGAGCCGGAGGCTAAAAAACTGTGAGCTAGCTTACACTAACTCAGCTTAGATGGAACACTGGTTGTCAGGTCCTTCCTCGTTGCTGGCAGGGGACTTTGGGGAGGGTGTTCCTGGAAGGGGCGTGGACATATCCAATGTGATGATGTCACACAAAAGTGACATAATTACGTTGGAAACCAGTGCCCTGCACACCTGAACTCCAAGAGGCAAATTTGCCACTGAAGTTCAGGTGCCCCCCTGCTTCTTGCAAACAGCATTTAAAGGAAATTTGCCACTGGAGTTCAGGTGCACCCCTCCCACTCAAGAGTGGCACCTTCAATACACCTCCAACTATCACCCATCTGCTAGCCCAGTCCAGCAAAATTATTCTGCATGTTTCCCAAAGGCTCATTGGGATGCTTTTGAAAGGCTCACCATGACCTAGGTGGTATACAGCAGGCCTGGGCTAGCAGAAAGGGGGATGATTGGAAAAGGACTGAAGGTACCACTCTAGAGTGCCCTTTTAAGCCACCGGTGGTCACTCTTGGGGGCAGGGCTTCCCCCTGCTGGCCAATTGGCTGGCAGCAGGCCATGAAATCAGAAATCCCCCACCCCCATCTAGGGACTGGCATCCCTAGCAACAACAAATATTTATGTTCTTGAACCTGGATCCTATACCATGCACAATTCTTTCTGGCTACTGTTAAGGTTGTTCTCTTCAGCAGAGACAGGGCCAGGGTTAGCATACCCTGAAATGGGGCAACTGCCAGGGCTGATCCCCAACCATACACCTCTCCTGCCCCACTTTGTTCTATGAACTTCTCGACAACACTGAAGAAGGACATGTGGGTGGTACGCAGTAATTACACTCCCCCCTGCATACACTGGCCAATGCTGTTGTGGAATGGGTGTTCAGATGGTACAGACAACTGAGCATGGGCAGTGAAAGGGCTTGAAAGTGGAAGAAGGGTACACAGGTGTATGCAGGTGTTGGGGTGAAAAGGAAAGAAAGGGGGACTGGTGGTAGGCAGATGGGGTCCTTTGGGCACTATCTGCCCTGAGCCCCCCCCCCAAACCAGGAACCAGCCCTGTGTGGAGAGCACTTTCTCTGGCACTAGGCACTTCTGTTCGTGCTACACCAATGTTTTTGAAAGAACCCCTAATGCCTGGTACATGAGGAATACTCCCTGTGTAGGAGGACCACCTCCAGCGCAACCAGAAATAAGAGTGCATGGAGCAAAGGGACAGCATCCAACCCTTAAAAATTTAGCAAGTAGTTGAAAGTAAAAGGAAGCATTAAGAGAAGATCATCTTAGACTGATATACACAGAAAAAATGGTGCAGGCATTGTTCTAGTGAGCTGACAAGATGGTAGAACTTCAGAAGTTAGCTACTCTGTACAGTACAGTATAGCACAGTACTTGTTGAACTGTTTTTCTCCCTTTCATGATCTTGTTTAACAACTTTATGAATGATTTCTAACAGAACATTCCATAAATTCAATAAACAGGGATGCTGGGTCATCCAGTGATCTAGACTAAAATATCTTTGGTTTTTCAGGGCCAAAATATGAAGGATGCCTAAGGAGCTTTTAGAGGCTAAATCAGGTCAAGTCCTTGGTGCTGAGGAAGTGTGAGTTTGTTACTCCTTTCTCCTGCAATTTTTTTTTCTAATTGGCTTTGGGAGACTATTCAAATTGGGAATATGTATCAGTGAGAAAATGTTAATACATTTTCCTCAGTGTCAAGGCCCTGATCAAATTTGTTCCCTACACCTCTTTTACAGCACCATACTAAGCACAGATATTTCCTCCTAATCCTCCTATAATTAGCTGGATGTAACTCTGCTTAGTATGATGCTGTAAAAGAATTCAGTGCACTTAGAAGGGTGGAACTCTGCTTAGGATCACACTTTTAATTTTTTTAAAAAGCCCAGAGGAGATCCTGCTTACCTAATTTGGCACTTACAAAGGAGGACTTGAAGAAAGGATTACATTGTTAGAAAGCACCTCCATGTAAGAAGTTCTTTACATTAAAAAAAAATGCACATCAGGGAAAAGCCCTCCTTGAGCATGGATGTTTTGTTATAGTGGCAAATAAATGTTTAAAATAAATAAATTATGGATGAATTTTCCACCAAGAAGTCTTAAATGGTAGACTACCAGGAATTTTGCACCATGGGATTTATCAGAATGTTTGAAATGACCATTACTTCTGGCTGACCAAGACAGAGCCATGGCACAGTAAATAATAAAGAAATACTTTTAATCACTTCAGATCAACATAATTCCAAATGAGAATAAAAGGACAAACAAACCTTCTCTTCTTCATTCTCTGTTGGCTTGTTTTTTATTTCAGTATGTAAAATCAGGGTTGGTGGGCAGGAGGTCCTGTTTGATTCTTTGCCTTTATCTGAAATGGACCAAAATAAATAAAAATACAACAAATGCCTGTTTCTCAGGACCTCACCTTTTTACCCCCCCCCCAATCATTTAGAATGTTCACAGTTATTTTGAAAGGTAGGAGTCTCATTAGTCAAGCATACAAATGGCTTTACGATTTGTTGTGTCCGCTGACTGCCACCAGGGGCCAGCGAATACCCCAGAGCTTGACTCTGGAAGAACAATGGGGCCTAGGCTCCTGGTCCCTCCACTGGGGGACCAATGGGACCGTGGTGGGAGATTTAAACCCACCAACGGACCTGGGGGTGTGTCCCCAGGTATGTATATAGTTGGCCTGCTGGCCATTTGTCTTTTGTCTTTGTTGTGTACCAGTAATGCGTGCAGGGTAACATGCGTGCCTCAGCGGGTCTTCCATGCGGCTAATCCACTACACAATACGATTTAACATAAATGTTTAGGAATTATGCGTTCTACAATATCTCAAAATATATTGTGTCAGAATATGGAAATGCATTCTGGCTAACAATGCAACTCTCGGTTAAAAGGCATATAACGAACCTAAGTAGGGCTGGGTGTAATCTGTACTTGGATTAGGTACTGGAATCCGGTGTGGCAGTGCGTATCACACTAGAAAACCCAGAATTGACATCATTACATCAGGGTGATGTTCTAGCATTTACCTCAAACTCTAGTTTGCGGTGAATCCTAGAATGTGGCTCTGATGTATCTCCCCCCCCCTTTTTTTGCTGAAAGTAATATCACACACTGGCACAGTACTCCCCCCTCCATTTTACTCCATTTTTTTTATGCTGCCCTTGGTAGGGGAATGCAGGTAAGGGATACTATAATGGCAGCCAACGGCAGCTGGCTGCATGTGGAGGAGTGGGGAATCAAACCTGGTTCTCCCAGATTAGAGTCTGCCACTCTTAACCACTACACCAAACAGTCATTCTTCACAAGGCATCTATAAAGTAATGTCATTGTTCTGGAAGCACATCATAATTTATGGTGATCAGAAAGTGAACTTCTGACTCTTTTTCACTCTTGGCAACTCTCTTGTGTAAATGACTGTGGGCATAGCTGCTAGTGTGATATATCAACTGTGTACAAAACAAGGAGCAAAGAAACCACAGTCACAATTTTGAACTTGGCTGTGAGCATAAAGATCTAGCAGAAGCTCTTAGGCTAGTTAATCTCACTTTTCACTCTGCAAATTGAGATTTGTGCTGGGACAAAACCACTGACAGAATGTTGGCAGATACATTTTCTCAGGGCTCAGGGCATTTCCCTTGATGCTTGGGAACAAAAGACTAGAGTTTCTTCCTCCACTTTCTAAAAACAAATTATCCACAGTGGAAAAAAAGGATGAGTCCACACCAAGAGCTTTATTATCTATTTTATTTTTAAACTCTTATCCCAACCATTAAATATCACCTCAGATGATTAGCAAAAGTCACAGAAATTAAATATTAATTTTTCAGTAAGAGATAAAGGTATATTTTATGTTATTGCAGAGACAGACAGCTTGAAAAACACACTTGATTTTGCATCCAGTTTTAGAACTGAAGTATTAATATTTTATTATACAGCAAATGGTTGGTAATGGGGGTTAACATTGGGTCAAATTGAGAAAATATGATCCTCACCACTGAGAAGCTTTTATTTCTGAATTCATTTGTAATTCAGCCTGCACAAGACTAACAGTCTTACAGAGTAACCATATTCCAAAAGGAACAGTATGCAGGACAACTGGATAGCAAGTAGTCTCAGTTTGTCTCTCCACTGCATCCATAATGGGCTTATTCAAACATCTATTAAAGCGGGTTATTATAACAACACACTGCTTACATGCCTGCAGCCTTCACAGACTTCATGAACATTTTTAGCTCATAGTACGGAATAATAAAGCCAAAACATTTGATAGTTTTTAAGCTTGTATTCTTTTCTTTTTTTTTCAAGGTGATCAAAGCACAATACAGAGAAATTCAAAGCAGTTTTCTACCCAAATACTGCACAGGTAAAGCCTATGTAACAGCACAGATGGACCTTCGTGAGGCACCCAGAAGTCACTCTCTGGGCATAGTAAATTACAGCCTTGACAATTATTTATTGGCATGTCACCACCAGACTATTTGTATGCTAGCAGTGGAACAGAATCTTGACATGGATTGTAATTCTGAGAGCTAGGAATTACAGTTTGAAATCTATAGCCCTGCTGAGGAAAAATCAGCAAGGGAAGGAAGAGGGGAGCCCTGTCTCACCAGATTTTAGGACTATTTTGAGAGGGTTAGTACACATATGCATGATCCTCTGGATGTGACATCACTGGACTCCCAAGAAGCTTTTCTCACCAAAGTCTCCTTAGTAAGGAATTTAAAGGGACAGGTCCTCTGGTTGATTAGAACCTGGCTAAACAACAGAAAGGAGAGAGTAGGAGATTGCTAATTTCCCAGTCCAGATCTCTGTATTATTCCCCACAATTATATTTTCCATACAGGGATCAGTCTGTCTGTCTGCAGGGCCGGCTCACTTGCTAGGCGAACTAGGCATTCGCCTACAGCGCAGGGATGGCGGGCCCTGGATGGGGCGCCGATCCTCCCCGCCAAAAGCTGCTGCCCTGCCCCACCGCCACCCCCATCTACCTGGCTGAGCTGCCCGCCACCTTCCTCCCGCCGCCGTGCCCTCCCTGCCCCTTGAGCCGCCTTGGGAAAGGAAGGCGGAGTAGAAAAGGGGCGGATGAGAACGGGCCTCTCGTGGGAAAGAATGGAGGTCCAGTCTGGGGGAGGGGGGCTGGTTGCGAGGCGCTTCTTCCCAGGGCAAAGAAATGGGGAGCCGGAGGCCACGCCACACTGTGCCACCGCCTTCTTGCTCCCACACGCTCTCTCGCAGGCCTGGCTGGCTTTCTCTCACCCCCCTTCCCTGCAGCCTATGAGGCTGGATCCTCGGAGCCCAGAGACGCAGCGGACCCTCCTGTGCAGAAGACTCCCAGCCTCTTGGTGACTGAGAGCCTGCCCGGCTCCCCCTGGGGGCCCCCCGGTGCCGGGGCTTTGGCGGCAGAAGAGTGGTCCCCCCACCCCTCTATTTTCTAGCTGCAGCCGACCTCCTTCTCATAAAAATTATGGAAACAATAAAAACGTCACTCAAAAGAATGCTGTTGTTTGTTGTTGTTGTTTTAAAAAAACACCTTATCAGCAAGCCTTTTAAAATCCTTTTTAAAAGAAACTAATTGGGCAGGCGGCCGGCCAGCCAGCCAGCCAGGGTCTACACACTGGCAGAAGCTCCACCCCCAGCTTCTAGGAGCCCTCAATCAGGTTGGGACAAGCTGGGCGGGGGTTGCACGTGCAGCGTCTTCTTGCTGCTGCAAGGGTAAGTTGGCTTGCAGGTACCTGGCTGCCATCTGGCCTTTGCAAATAAGGGCGGTGGGGGGAAGAGGCAGAAAGTTTTGCTGCTGGGGTCACTGCAGATCCTGGATTCAGAAGCAGCAGCAGCACATGGCCCTTTTAAATGGCAAGCTCCTGGATGTGCAAGGCAAGGCTTCTCTCACACTCTCCCTTCTAGCTGGTTTGGAAAGGTTGGTAAAAATGTCAACTGGCTGTAAAAGAGGGGTGTGAAGGAGCGATCCAGTCCCAGCTGCTCCAGCTTAGTCAGTCCCATCTGCTTAGTAAGAAGCCACAAGGGCATGCTGGGCAATGTAGTCTACATGACTTCCTTTGCAGTGGAAACAAGCGGGGGGGGGGTGAGAAAATCCCAGCCATCCGTCCCGGGGAGAAAGTGAGTGGGAAGGGCCTCTCTGCTACACCCAGCAGTTTTTCAGGCAGTCTGGAGAGACGGCTGGAGGAAGGGATAGGGGAAGGGGAAGAGCTACAATTCATGTATGAAGAGCTGCAAACAATTCATGATTTTTAAAAAAAGTAACCAAAAAGTCCCGTTCTCATTTGAAGGTGGGTTAGGGTAGCCAAGTGTGAATTCAGCCACAGCAGGGGACTCCCAGCTGGCGGCTGGAGCATGCGTGCACAAGCTTTGCACGCGCGCCGCATCGACGTAGCCTGGAAGACTGGGCACGCCAGGGACACTGGGGGTGGGGCCACGACCATCCGAGGAAAAAACATAGAGTTTTCCCTCGGATGGCTGTGGGCCTGCCCTCAGCGTGACCCCGCCCCCAGCCCCGGAAGACTGGGCACGCCAGGCACACTGAGGGCGGGGCCATGACCATCCGAGGGAAAAACATAGAGTTTTCCCTCGGATGACCGTGGCCCCGCCCCAGCGTGCCCGGTGTGCCCACATCACTTCCGGGCAATGTTTACGTCGGGGTGGAGTTCCCCCCGGGGCCTGATCTGCCTAAGGTGGGTCAACACGGGGGGGGGG